GGTGGGGTGGGGTTAATTATATTATATTATAGTTAAATATTTAATTTAATATAATAATTGTGAAATATAATTAATTAATTTAAAAAACCTGATTTTTGTAATTTTAAATATTGGGACCTGATTTTTGATTTCCTAAAAGTAAATCCCTGAACCATGAATTTTTCCCAATATAGAAAATAAAAAAAAATATGGGTAAATTGAAAAATATTGATTTTCATTAAATGTTTCAAAATTACAACACAAAATAGCATTTAAAGAAAATCCGATAAATTGCGATCTATGTAATTTTTTGATAAATTACAGTATTTATAATTATTTTACCATGATTGTAATTTACAATATGTTTTAATCCTTTTATAATGTACGTAATTTTTTCAAAACTGGTCACCTCAGAAATTCATATATTCTCCATCTCCAGTTCTCCACCCATCTTGATTCATCACCAGCAGCGTCAGAATGATCCATGCAACACCGCCACGAAGAGAATCCACCTCCAACATGCCGCACCAAATTCTTTTTCACGTACAAGTAATTTGTCGAAAAAGATGACAAAATTAAAAAAAAAAAATGCAACAAGTGGTACAAAACGAAACTAATTGTGTATCTACGAATCAATTATCACACATAAAATAAAAAATATTCACATTCCAGAGAACCACTATCATCTAACAAAGAACAAAAATCCCATAAAAATGGTATAAAGGAGGAGTATAATTTCAATTTTAAAATATTCAAATCACATATAATGCATCTTCTATTGGATTATCGACTAGATTTAACTGATCACCACAATCACTAAGATTAGATTGCACCGTCAGAGACGGATCTAAATATACAATATCATATCTAAGGCTGGACAAAACTCCCGAACTGAACTAGGTCGAATCGGACCCAAACCGAATTGAGCGGTTCTTCTTAAATTAAATACCCGAACAAGGTATCTAAATCGAGAACCGACAAGTTTTGTTCAGTTCTAGACCAAGAACCGAAAAAGAACCTAATCTCCCTAATTTTTTTAATTTTTTATCTTAAATAAGTCAAATTATATTATTTTTTTCTAAATGAATTTGCCAACTAATTAATTTAACTCAAACCTAAAATATGATTTTACTATTTCTAATTTTCAGCCAAACACAATTTAAGCAAATTGACCTAAATTTTACCCAAATCTCTTTTTATACTGTAGTGTCGTTTCTACCGTTATATTATTGTGAATTTACTATCTTCTCCTTCTTGTGATTTTAACAGTCAAATCTATGAAGAATTCAACAAAAAAAAAAATGCAAAAATTATCACCAGATTGGACTACGTTATTTTGTAAGAATTAAGATTGAACATGTCATGTTGAATTAATGTAGCGCTATTGAAAAAATATATAAAAAATTATTGTACGGAACCCAGGAATCTTATAGAACTTAATCGAATGGAACCGAACCCGAACGGTTCCATAATTAAATTTGGATCTGACTGTTTCACTTACTAAATATCCGAAAATTTCTGTTCAATTCGATTCTCTTCAAAATTGAACCGAACCGACTAAGTCTAGCTCTAATCATATCATTGCATCAATTTGGGGCTCAATCTAAAATTGAGCACATAGAATTTCACGTGATCGAGCTCGTATCGCCATTCATATTGCCTTTTTCTAACCATGTGATCATGAAGGAATGAAAGAAGCAAAAAAAGGAAAAAAATCATCCTAGACCATGAAAATTGTTACTGTTAAGTTGTGACTCAAATTCTATACGATTTGGAAGTTTGATTCATGGAGAAAGCCTATATAATTTTGGTTTGGAAGTTCGGATTGATAAGGGATCAAATTTCATCATAAATTAGGAGTTTGATTGGGGAAATGACTTGAAATTGATGAAAAAATGTTTTGAAAGCATTAGGTCCGAAACGGGGCCTAAGCCCCAGCAGCAAAAATAAGGAACGGAAGCTAGGCGTCTAAATACTCCTATAAATACTCCAAGAGGTGTAAGCTCTTCATAAACTCAACAATTAGATCATTGTTGTATATATTAGAAACTTAAGAGAATTATTTAGATTCAGATTCAGAGTATCAAATTTTGTAAACACGATTTTAGTTTATTTGTATATGAAATTCTTCTCATCTTCCACATAATTTTTTTTTTTATCCATTATTTTTCATATTACTCTTATTTTCTCGTCTTTATTATTTGGTCTGATTCTCAACAATTGATATCAGAACGATTCTGGTATCATGTTTGTTTCTAACTGTTATATGGAGTTTGGCAGCAACGGTGGTAGGACGTGGCAGCCATTGTCGTCTGAGGAGAGGGATAATGGAAAAATGTTGTGGCAAGGATCGAATAATTAGGTTTGGTGATTGAATTGAGATTAGGAAATACACCTGCCGTGTTGGGACTAATTAACCCTTTAAAACACTTTAGAATAAGTAACCAAATAAATGGACCAACCCACCAATATCCACGATTATCAAATTCCACACTTTAGAACTAATTTGAGCTTTTCTTCTTTCTCTCTTATTATTATAATTTTTTTGTTTGCTATTTTGATTTTTAATTAATGGTAACTTAATTGATTTTTATGATCATTTTAGATGATTTGATTTTCAAACTTATAATGGTTAGGAAAGGCGTTATTGAAAAAATATCTTTTACGTATTGTAAAATACTCCAACCTTTTCAAATTAACGGAAAACCCCTTATGAACTTTGAAGTGTGGAATATCCATTTTCTTCTATTTTCTCAATAAATTATTGTGAAATGACGAATATACTATCATATTTAAATTTTTTAAAAAAAATGAAGAATTGATTTCAAATGTATTCCCAATTTTTCAAAAAATTGCAAACGAATTCCAAATAAATAATTAAAAATTAAAATTTGAAAAAATATTCTCTTTCTATCCCCATACCCTTTTCCCACCTACTACCGCTTTCCACCACCCGTCGTCGTCCCCATAACAAAGTTTGTGCCTCGAAAGGCCTCAGGGATCGGCGTGTCTGACTAGCTGCACAAACTATAATTCAGTTCTATGATGTCCAGGAAAACCAAAAAGGCCAAGGCATCCATCGATGAGCTTGCACACTTGCCGGCCTCGAATCTCATCATCGGTTCTACTACAAATGTAAATTTTGAATAAGAAGAAGCCTTAAAATAACTGGAGGAAAATCAGCAGCAGTATCTTAATCAAGAACCGCACGAAAGCAGCACTGTTATTCAGAATGTGAACAGCCCTAGTTTTCTGCTTCCATCTATCATCTATGGATTTTGATGCTACTGCGGACAATATCAAGTCTTTTTTTCCAATGGGTGGTTCAGCTAAGGCAAGCTCCTCAGCTATACATTTTCAATACTAGTTTGAATACAGAGGTGGTCGTCCAGCAGCTTTTGCAAACATATTCTCCAAATTGGGTACTGACAGAGGGAATTATAGAGGAGCAGCAGCAAGAACAAAAACTGTTATGAAGGATTTACCGAGGGAATTTGAGTGGGACTTACTTGAAATTTGTAGGATTATTGAAGTTGGTTCTTCAATTAGAAAATCAGGTTTCTTTGTGAATTCTAATGCAAACGCCATTGTTGAATGGAGTGCGAATAGAGATTGGGGGGTTAAAATTATAAAGATATCGCAATGTGTTCCAAGCGAGGACGGAGGCAGCGATGGTGGTGGTGGTTGACGAAAGAAGGGGTAGGTGGGAACATGGTATGGAGTATGGACCCTGGGGGGAGAGAGCAATTTATTTATTTTAACTATTTATTTGGAATTCGTCAGCATTTTTTTGAAAATTTTGGAACAAGATTTGAAATTAGAACTTTATATTTTTCTTCCTTTTCTTTTTCTTTTATTTAAATATGATGATATATTCGCCGTTTCGCTCAAATTTATTGAGAAAATAAGGCCCCATTCTCTTTGCTGTTTTTGGACCGTTTTCTATTTTCGATTTTTCAAAACAGTGAAAACGTGTTCTCTTTCTCGTTTTTAAAAACGAATTTTTGAAAAAAAAAAAAAAATTTGCCTGAAAACTCAAAACGTCAAAATAGACGTTTTGTGTGTTTAAGGGTAATTGGCGCAAAACGTCCATACCTTTGACGGGTCTTGTGCATAAGATTCATACCTTTCATTTTTTGACGCAGAACGTCCTTACCTTTCACATTTTTGGCGCATATTGTCCTTTTCCCCAATTTTTGACCATTTTACCCTCCAATTTAAATAAAACAAAAAAGAAAAGAAAAGAAAAATAAAGAATAAATTGCAATATGTTCCTCAACTTTTTTTAAAATACAAATCAGTCTAAAACTTATAAAAATATTAAAAAGAACAAAAAAAAAAACTGTCAGGAGCTCCTAGCCGTCGGTTATGGACCCAATTTCCACCTCATTCCGGCCACCAAAATCGCCAATTATCACTACCAACTTAATTTCCTCAACATCCTCTACAATTTCCACCCAAGAACTCCCCATTTCATCCACTTATACACCCGAAATCATGCATCAAAACCAACAAATCGAAATTCTGCAACATGTCGAAAATCTCTCCTCCGGCCACTGTCATGGTCGCGGACCACCACGAACTGTCTGCCCAAGTCCATGCGACACAGAATATGGCCCCAATTCACTCCAAACAATGCACCATCAAGATCATCTTCTTCTTTATCTTTATCTAGATTTCAAAATGAGTTCACGGAGATCCTCAAAACCCACAAAATCCCCTAACCAAGCAACCCATTCAAGATCATCTTCTGCTTCATCTTCATCTTCTTTATCATCTCATTTAGCCATGATTGAATTGAAGCATAAAACCATCAACTCTCTATCTAAACTTTCAGACCGCGACACCTACTAATTAGTTGTGGAGGACCTTGAAAAAATTATAAATTCACTATCAAATAACGGTGTTTCGATGCTCCTCAACTGCCTCTATGACGTTGGCAATGATTCGAAACCCGCCGTGAATAAGGAGAGCCTCAGTCTCCTTGCTGTTCTCTGCGCCATGTACTCGGATCCTTGTGCGACCCACTTGACAAAAATAATTGCCCACATTGTGAAGAAGCTCAAGGACTCAGATTCACCTTTGCCTGCATTTCAAAAGCTCTGCTCGAGGGTGTGCAAATACTTGAATAGCCCAAGAATTAATGTGAAGTTAAGGGGCTTCTTTGGATTGATTTGCATTTTTAAAAAAGTTTAGGAACATATTGCAATTTATTCTTTATTTTTCTTTTCTTTTATTTTTTATTTTATTTAAATTGGAGGGTAAAATGGTCAAAAATTGGAGAAAACGACATTTTACGCCAAAAATGTGAAAGGTAAGGACGTTCTGCGTAAAAAAACGAAAGGTAGGGACGTTTTACGCCAATTACCCCTTCTAAAAACATGAAAAATGCCCTCTTTCTCATTAGAGAGCCAGAAGAACCGAAAGCCAGAAAATCGCAACCGCCGCCTTCTTCCTCGACAATCGACCACCACCAGTCACTGAGAGACACCATACCCCACTACCATTCGAACCCCCTCACCTCCATCTTCAACCTTTTGTCATCACCTGGCCATGGAGTTGCCAAAAACAGCCTCAATCACCACCAAAAACCGTGCTACCAGTCAAGGTTTTCTCCATATTTCCACCGCCATGGCCACCGTTTTGATCACGGACCACCACCACTCCACTCCTCTCAATCAAGCGCATCCAGTACCACCATGGGTCACCTGCAATTTTGTCCAGTACCACCATGGGTCACCTGCAATTTATATTTATTTGATTCGCTAGGCATGGGGAAAATGCTTTTTCGTTTTCTATTTTGATTAATAGGAGTTGAATAATGTTGTTGTCTGAATAGTGATTAATGGTTTGATTGGTTTGCAGCTGGAGAGTCTTCCTTCTATGACTGATATTGTGAAATTTTTTTTACTGTCTTGCAGCCTTACTCCTTTCTTTCTAAGGTCTATCTTTCTCTCTGAATATTTGTCAAACTTTTATTTAGAGTTGTATGCATTATGTATATGCCCTGAATAACACTAATCTTGTTTAGGTAGTTCTTGTTTGAATATTGAATCTAGCAAGTCCTAAGCTCGCTCCTGCATAATCTCGTACGTTGGAGTTGAAATTTCTTCGCACGCTAGTTATTTGATGTACTCAATATATGTGTTTTCTACAAATCTGGGAATTGGGTTTTATGGTTATGTACAGTTCTTTTAGTAATTGTCTATTTTCTTAACTTCATTTTTCATCTTGGGACCATATGGGGTTCCTGTCAGATTATTTTCTCACTGTTTTAGCTCTTTCTTTAGAAACTGAGGGTCTAATTTGGAAACTTTTCTTCGCGTGATAGACTTGAATCAATTCGAGTCATCTTATAAATATAGTATATAGAATCAAAGTTATATTATGGTTAAGATGAAAATCATAATTCCTAACAAAGTCTGTCATTGGAATTGTTTTGTATCCTTGACCTATTGGATTCCGCCTTGTTCTTCGCAATTGTATTGAAATTCCAAAGGAAATATCATGCAGAGTAAGACCTTCTTGTCCAGGTTCAAGCATACTAAACAATTTGCAAAAGTACTCGTGTGGGAAATGAGTAAGGCCTGAAATTTGATAGCTCTCGATAAAGGCCATGAGCTCGCACTATTTAGTATCTGTCTCCAAACTGTTCATATATCAAGTTCTGTGATCAATCAGGTTGTTTGTATTACAGAACTCACAATGTGATGTTATAGATGTCTTCCCAATAATAACTTTATTAGAAGTTTCATAAAGTCCAGCAAATTTTAGTTATTAGTACCTCTACAAAATACTCAGTTATTTAAACCTATCTGTGAACTGAGACTAACTTTTACACAGATCACTAGATTGTGAGCTTGCATTCGGTGATAACCATTTCTACTTCTTCTGCAATACTTCAATTCCAAATATTATTTTCGAAATAATTTCTCCAAGATCTATGACTGATTTTGTTCAAGATAGCTGTGATAGCTTGGAGGTGGGGAAATCAAAGGGAGGAAGAAGAAGAATGGTGATGTTGAGGTGGAGACTGGGTGTTGGATTAAGTTGAGATATATTGGTAGCTGTATTTCTTCCGGATCAAAAGTTGATAGCTCACTTAGTTGATAGCTCTGTTTTCTTGACTCGAAACACAGGCCCTTCCAAATTGATGTTATTTTTTTTCCAATATTTTGAATAAACTGATAAGATTTTCCAAGTCCCTGATTGCCAGCTTCTTTTCCTAGGTTATCTGGACGTAAGTATTTTTTTTCCATTATTTTGAATAAACTGATAAGATTTTCCAAGACCCTGATTGCCAGCTTCTTTTCCTTGGGTATCTGGACGTAACCCTATTTCTAGTTGTGCACTAGTGCATTCTCTTACCAAACAGCTGAACTTTGTTGAAAGCTTGAAAGTCACGTTTGAGCCGTGTCAGATTCTAGCCGATCATGTGAGGGCATTACTTGAACAGGGAAATGCACTAGCTTGTGTGGATCCAAACATGGGAAATTACCCGGAAGACGAGGTTTTGCTTGTTCTTAAATTGGCATTGGTTTGCACTTCTTAGGTACTTTCCAGCAGGCCATCCATGGCAGAAGTGGTGCAAATACTGCAGGTGATTAGTACTCCAATTTCACAGAGATTGGGAGGATTCTAATTACAAGTGTTTTGTAATGGGGAAAAGTTTTTTGCTGATTTATGATATTTAAATTGGATAAATTTTCGTTTACCCTCGTGATACTTTTCTCGAATCTCGATTTTCTACATATGTTTTGTATTTATATATTTCATTATGTGTTAATATTTACAATGGAAGCAAAACAAAATACGAAATGAGTGCATCAGACAAACTAATGATAGTCATCATGTTTAGACGATCAAAATTGTATTTGACAAGAATTGTGAGAACTAACATGAACACGATATGATTGATTTCAAAATATTTATTACCATGTCAACATGAGATTAGTGCTCCCCTTTTTTGCAACTTGATTAGGTTTGGTTGTGATTTGATGCTAGTTAATTCTTGTCACAAGTTACGTACAAAGACAAAAATAAGGACTTGCCAAATTTAATTTAGGTTGTATTTTTTATATATGGAAAAAAATATTTTAAGATTCACAAATTTCATAATTTATATGTTATTTAGCCCCTGTTTGGCACCCATTCTAATCTCATTTTCATTTTTTTTTTCTATTTCTTCATTTCAACCACACATTCTCTCAATAAAATAATATTACACACAAATTTAAAATTTTTCATAACTTTTTCACCACACATTCTTCCATCAATCACTATTCCAAAAATTCTATTCTTCAAAAAATAGGTGTCAAACACCCTTTTAATACTATATTAATATTAAACTATTAAAATTTATTGAATAACCAGATTTCTTGAATAAAATATTATAAAAAAAATATTCTCTAAATTTCAAAGTAAACGTATTTTTCATTTTTATGTTTTGAGAAATAGTTTTTTAGAATGGCAAAAGGAACGCATTTTCAAAAATTTCAAAACAGACACTCAAAACACAAAACGAATTCAAAACTCAAAACACAAAACTGAAACACGAAAAGAACAGCCACTAAATCTTTCGCACTTCAAAATTCATACAAGGGGTTTTCCGTCAATTTGAAAATATGGGGATATTTGACGATAGTCCCATACATTCGATGTATTGCACCATTAAGCCTTAACAGGTAGATTTCAAGTGATTCAGTTTATCGAATTTCACGTTTTTACCCAGATGAAATATTGTTCAAATTTTATCGTTGTTTGAATAGTATTTTTGCACAAATTGAAGGTAAAAGTATTTTTCTATGACACCAAATTATTTGGCATGAACGTGTAAGTATCAATATATGTGACAATTACACGGCATTAAATAATATATTGATTTAAATGTAAAGTCGCATGACTTATTTAATTCAATCTGTAAAGTGTAGCCATTTATACTTGTATTTTATTATTACTGGTGTTAGATACAATTATTCTTAAACAACAATAATATGGCATATCAATTAATTAGTAGATAATTTAAATCATAATGCTACCTTTAATCTATCTATTTAATCAAGGAAAAATTGCAGCATCGATCCCTAACCTTTCACTTTTTTACAGACTGTGCCCTAACCTTCACTTCGTGCCACCCACAATTCCAAACATTTCTAAAATATGCACATGGGATCCAAATTCATTTGATCGTTGGTTGACCAGAAAAAAATCAAAATTTAATCAATTTTGACCAAATTAAAAAAAGTAAAATTATATATTTACATTTTTCAAAATATTAACAATTAGAACAATTAAACTAAAAATAAATAAAAAAATCAGCCCTACCCACGCTACACCACACCCTCCCATTTTCATCATCATCTTCTTCTCATTGTCGGCGATAGCCACGAAGCCGTCACTTTCTTCTCTCTTCCAAGTCCACTTCATCTTCTCCTCCATCCGTGCTTGCCCACCGCATATTCATCTTATTCTCTAAACTATTATGTGGAAACTCATTGTTCATCTCCTTTACCAATCCAGCCCCACATTCATCCTCTCCGTTACTCCGCGAGAGAACACCTAGTTTTATTTGAATGTGAAAGTCGGGGCTAGATCTGGGGTTCATGTTCCGGTTCCTTATGGAACCCGAATACAGCCCGCAAGTACATATTTTTTTGAATGATTTGATTATATGTTATTAATCCAATTCTCCGGCTAAAAATTGATTTCGTTCTTACTGTAATTTTACTGGAAATGGGTCAAAATTGATTTTGTTTCTTGTGTGGTGGGATTGACAATATTGGTGTCAATGGTTTGTGATGGGATTGACGTTGTGGTATTAGAATCCTACATTATTTGAGAAAATATAAATGATCTACTTAATAAGGTGAGGGCAATCCTCCCCTAATAAGCTTGTTTTATTATGTGGAGTTAAGTCCAATATTCCTAATATGGTATCAGAGTTATGCCCAATTATACAATGTTGGGTGCCACCCAATATTGATTTGTTCACAGTTGTTTGGCATGGTCCACGCTGTGCGTGAGGGGGCGTATTAGAATCCCACATTACTTGAGAAAATATAAATGATCCACTTAATAAGATGAGGGCAATCCTCCCCTAATAAGCGGGTTTTATTAGGTGAAGTTAGGCCCAATATTCCTAACATGTGGTGTTGGCGGTTTGTGGTGGGATTAACGTAGTGGTGATATGTGTTTGAGGTGACGGTGTTGGGTAGCGTTGGGTGGTGTTAGTGTTGGGACGGTGGAGCCAGCTATGATGATTTTCATGAGTGGGGATAACAAAAGCCCTTTTTCCTTTTTCTTTTAATTTTTTTATATTAAAATTCCAAAATTACTATTTTACCCTTATTATATTTGGTGAAATTTTACTATTGTGATCCACTAACAATCAAATGCATGGTTTCCATCTATTTGAATCCTAGGTGCATATTTTTGAAAGGTTTAAGACTGTTGATGACACAAAATGAAAATTAGAAGCACTCAATAATTTGAAATTGGGGATTTTACTCGTAGATATGCATTTTATCATTTTTATTTTTGCCTTTGACTTGAAAAAGTAAATGACCATTTTAGGGATAAACGTTTGATATGTTAGAAGTAATACTATCATTTCGTCCATGTTTGGTAGAGAATAAAATCAATTTTTTAGTAGATTTTAATAGAAGTCGATGAAATGTGTGGTTAAATAAAATTGGACCTCATAAAATGTTTGATTAAAATCAGTTTTCTAGTAGATTTTGATAGAAATTGATGAAATGTGTGGTTGAATAAAGTTGAGTCTCATAAGATGTGTAATTAAAATTAATTGTTGATTTTGATTTGAGATTGTAATCGAATTTTAATTCAAACTAAACAAGGGCGAAAATTGTGTGATGGACTTGAAGCCAAAAAGTCAAAAAATTTGCAAATTAATTTTAAATATTATTTATGGAGACTATGAAATAGCACCAAAAAATCGATACTCAAAACAGGGACTGAATACGAACGAAAATCTATAATATGAGCATTTATTTCATCTATAAGAAAAATTTATAACCCTAAAAAAATGGTATCACCCTAAAAAAAATATCTAGGATCCTTATTACACAGCAGCTAGTGCTACTACACTTCTTTATTCTTGTACTAATGGCGACCCGTTTCTCTCTCCCTCGCTCAATTCTTATTCAACCAATCAGTTCAATAAAACGCCCCCGGATAAATTCCCATTCCTTTTCTTACCCCAAACAACTCCTAAAATTGCATCCCTGTCCTCTATGGTCTTCTATCTCCATCTGCCCTCTCCATTTCCACTCTCATAGCAAATCCTCTCGAAGCTCAACCACCACCGTTCGATCCTACTCTTCATCTACTGTCACGAGAATGTCAACGCCAGTTGAAGGCACTGAAAATAATCCTCTGTTGAAAGAATTCTATTTCCCGCCGTTTGATTCAATCAAGCCCGACCACGTTCGCCCTGGGATCCATGCCTTGCTCAAACAACTCGTACGTGTGGAGATGTTATAGCTATTTATGTGAATTAATTAATGAGGAATTTATTGATACGTGTTGATGATTTCGATTGGGGAATTGTAGGAATGTGAATTGGAGGAACTGGAAAGGACAGTAGAGCCGACGTGGCCTAAGCTTGTTGAGCCACTGGAAAGGATAGTTGATAGGTTGGCCGTGGTTTGGGGTGCTATTTCCCATCTCAAGTCTGTCAAAGATGATCCCAAGCTTCGCTCTGCCATTGAAGAAGTTCAGGTACTGAGGTACATATGCATGCATATTCGTTGTGAATCTGCTGTTTCTATGGTTATATGTGCTCATTTTAATGTTGTTTTTGGTTTTGCAGCCGGAAAAAGTGGCATTTCAGCTTAAGTTAGGTCAGAGTAAGGCTATCTACAATGCGTTCAAAGCTATTAAAGAGTCTCCAGATTGGGACACACTAAGTGATGCTCAAAAACGGATAGTTGAATGTATGTATTGCCAAACTAATCTTTGTTATGACGTCCAATCACCTACATTATGGCCTTTTACATCATAGAATTATTGAAACTTTCAGACAATGTTTAGTTTATTAATTCTTATTTGTTTGTCTTGCACACACTCTGGCAGTGCAAATCAAGGATGCCGTTTTAAATGGTATTGCCCTTGAAGATGATAAAAGAGAACAATTCAATAATATTGAACAGGTATGTGGCTGGTAGTAAAGTCGTACTAGCAGTGAATACTATGAACTTAATTGCTGCAGAGAGCCTTTGTTGACACTTATTGATTAAGTTTTATGGTGGGAAGGGTCTAATGAATTTAGAGGAATAGAAAGAAAATAAATACATGGAATGACATAATTACTTATCAGAGTTATAGAATGGTGTCTTAGTGAAATACTGGCCAAATGCCTGAGAATAAATTTTTTCTGCAGGTGTAGTTTTCATTCAAATGACAATTGTACCCTGAATGGAACCAACTTTTACATTTATCCGCTCTCACCCTAATACACAAAACCCTAAGGCCTAAACATCCACCGAACTCTCACAAACATGGACATCATACTTTGTAACTCCACTTCTTTCACTGCCACCACAGCCACTATCGATTGCTTTCCTTTCGCTGCAAACCAAATGTAAACCCTTATGCACTGTTTAGCATCAGTGTTTGGAAAATTGCTATTTGTATTGTATGACTCTATTATAGTATGATCCAAATCTTCAGAATCAATTGAGAATTGTACTTGGGTTAAAAAATATAGAGAATCACAAGTTGGATTACATGATCATAGACTCTAGGTATAGGATCTTACCATTTCCTTTCGTGATCTAATTGTTTGTCAAAATGTTCAGAATTGCAAGTAATTTCATAGACGCATGTAGGTCTGCACGATTAGATAGGATTAAAGCAGTGAGATAGTATCATAAGATGCTATGACATTTTGCCAATCCTACTTTTAGGAAATGTTATCCTTTTGTTTTCATGACTTGATGGTTTTTCATCCTGCTAATGTTTATTATGAAATCAAGCAGCTCAAGTCCTTTTTTTCTTGCACAAATAAAAAAACTAGCACAAGATTTCACAATAAAAAATCGTAGAACATCGAGCAAGAGTTTCTCTAGAGCTCAGCTTATCGCTCCTATTTTATATTGATCACTGCTATATGTAGCTATTCTTTGATACCCTTTTAAGTTGAAGGATGGTTTTTATTATCAAGTAGAATGAATATCGAATTCAAAGTTATTGAAAACACTCTCCAATTCCTCGTGTTCTTCTATATCTCTTCTTATCTCTCGTATCCTAATCTTCTCTATATTCTTGAGTTCACTACATTGTGCTTCATGAGAGAGCGAGGGGGGAGAGTGATAGAGAGAAAGCAGAAGAGAGAAAGGAGACTGGAGAGAGAGACTGAATAGGGAGATGGCAGTTAGCAGAGAGAGGAAATTTCCTCTGTTGAATTTTGCAGAGGATGTAGTTGACTTATGAAAAGAATCTTCCAGCTGAAAGCTCTGGTCCTAATTATCCAAAATGGTATAGAGGTCTGCTTTTGTTGACGAGATTTTTTTCTTTCTTCTCTCTCTACACAACATACATACTACACTACAAACTCAAGCATGCATACATATTTTGGGAGGGGATAGTACGGAGTTATCTTCATTTGTTAAAATGCAATCTCATTTATTTGGCAAGTATACATGTTTCTCCACAGCACGCTTGCTATGCATTTTTTACATGCCAAAAGGCATGCTCTATTGAAAAGCTACTTGTAGTTTTCTGTTCATTTTTAGTTTTAGAATGGTTATCTTTCTTTCCTTCAAATTTATTCGTAGGAACTGGCAAAACTATCTCAAAAATTTGGGGAGAATGTTTTGGATGCAACAAAGAAGTTTGAAAAACTGATAATGGATAAGAAAGATGTCGAAGGATTGCCAGCTACTGCTCTTGGATTGGCTGCACAAAATGCAGTGTCTAAGGTACTCTATGTTAAAACTCATTTTATTATCTTGACTCTATCTTGTGTAAGCATATATTGCTTGGCTGGATTTGCTTTTTAGTTTTTCCTTCATGCTACTATTAACAGGGTCATGAAAATGCTACCGCTGAGATTGGACCATGGATGATTACGTTGGATGCCCCAAGTTTTATGGCTGTAATGCAGCATGCCAAAAATCGAACTTTACGTGAGGAAGTATACCTTGCCTATGTAAGCCGTGCATCTAGTGGAGATCTTGATAACACGGCAATAATAGACCAAATTTTGAAGCTTAGGCTGGAAAAGGCAAAGCTTCTTGGGTACAATAACTATGCAGAGGTATGACTTTTATATTTGAAATATGCCTTTTAGGACCTGCTTGATAAAGAGTATACATTAGGTAAGCATGGCTACCAAGATGGCTACTGTTGAAAAGGCAGAAGAGCTCCTTGAAAAACTTCGCAGTGCATCATGGAATCCTGCAGTTAAAGGTAGTGTGTTTTACAGAAGTTCCTGATTTGTTTGTAAATAATGTATAACGACTCCACTGTTTGTAGTATACTTCAGGCATAAACTGTAGTTTATAGCTTTGTGATATTTTTCAATTTTACTTATCAAACTAATGTTTTGTAATATCTCATGTTTTCTCTTGATTTCTGACTAAGTGTTTATGGATGTTCTAAAAAGTTTTACATTTCAAAAATATGTTTTCAAGTAGTCCTGATTGAGTCATGAACAGTTGAATTAGGTAATAATTTACAAATGGGTACAAATAAAAAAAAATTCTTTACCAAATGTCAGTTTATTGTGCAATTTAATTCTTAATATAGTATAACTAGCTCTATTCTGCTACCGTATTTCTTTTTTGGTAACCGTTTCTATGAACATGTTGTGAAGGTGAAAACATTTTATCTAGAAGATCATTAATCAGAATTTTTAATCTTTTTACCTTCTTTAGATATGGAGGACCTTAAATACTTCTCAAAGAGTCAAGGTGTTCCAGAAGCTGATAACTTGAGCCATTGGGATATCAGCTTTTGGAGTGAGAGGCTTCGTGAATCAAAGTACGAAATAAATGAGGTGGTTTTACTCTCCTGCCCTCTGCCCTACTTCCTTAATTTTGAAAGTTTTTCTGAGATCTAATCATGTAACAATGCATTGAACGGAGTGGTGAAAAGGGATTCATGCAGGAAACCTCAAGGTTATGATGGAGCTTGATTTGTTGTTTATTTGAGATCTAATAACTGAAATGCATGTAGTTGCGCAGCTTCATTTCGTATAATTAGTATCTTGTTTTTACTCTTTGCCAAAATCGTTGGTCATGCTCATAGTCTTTTTATTATTCCAATTTTCAGTGTAGATATATTAACAAGTATCGTTCTTGGCATTTTCTATTTTCAATTTCATTTAACTGGAAATCAAGGAGGGAGATTGTTTATTCGTGTGTTATGTGAGATGGGAGTAGAGGACTGTTTGCCCTGCATTGCATGCTTTAGATGCTTTCGAGTTATATTATGTTTTTATTTATCTTTAGTTATATTTCTGTGGTCATTAATTTTGCTTTAACCTCTTTCCTTAAAATTTACAGTTCTGCAATAATAGCTGTTATATTTTTCCCTGCATATCAATCTCTTTTCCTTGATTTTGTAAGTTCTAATTTGGTGGCTTTTAACAAATCAACAGGAAGAATTGCGTCCTTACTTTTCATTTCCTAAAGTTATGGATGGTCTTTTCAGTCTTGCAAATAAGCTGTTTGGAATCAATATTGAGTCAGCTGATGGTTTAGCCCCGGTAGGAATTTCCGTCCTTTCATTCATTTTTTTTAACATTTTCTTTCTTTCTTTCGTTTTGTTATATTTCCTAACACGGCCGCTATTAACTGTAGGTTTGGAATAGTGATGTTCGATTTTACCGTGTCAACGATTCTTCAGGCAGCCCTATTGCATTTTTCTATTTTGATCCATATTCGCGTCCGTCTGAAAAACGAGGAGGAGCATGGATGGATGAAGTAGTTGGTCGAAGTCGTGTCTTGTCACAAGATGGTTCCTCTGCTAGGTTGCCTGTTGCCCACATGGTGTGCAACCAAATGCCACCTGTAGGGAACAAGCCAAGCCTTATGACATTCCGTGAGGTATATTTGGTTTGAGCATCTAAAATTTTATGGTTCTTAAATTGCTTAGACCTGGAATCATACTATTGTACTAGTTTAGCCTGCACCTTTGCCTGTTCCTTCGCAAACCTTGGTCAACACACTTTGTTTGGTCTTTATGTATCGAGGGGTTGCTCAGTTGATTAGACCTTGGGTTGCTCAGTTCCAGTCCCCTCAGGACAACTGAGGTGAGTATCCGACCGTAAACTTCAGAGCTCCGTGGGATTAGTCGAGGTGCGAACAAACTGGCCCGGACATCCACGATTATCAAAAAAAAAAAAAAAATTGGTATAATTTTCCACCTGGAAAATGTTGAAAGTTTGATGTCCGTTTGGCATCGTTTTTCATGAAAATTGTCAATTAAAGTGATAATTTTTTTTACCATTGGGTCTAGAATTTGTTCCAATTGCCCAAAAAAAAAAAATTTTTAAAAATTGCTATACCGAATACCATTCGTTTGGCTTTGTTTTGCATGAAAATTGTCAATAAAAGTGATAATTTTTTTTTAATATTGTGCCTAGACTTTTTTCTAATTGCAAAAAAAAAAAAACTGGAAAATCAATTTCCACAAAACCAAGGAAAAGTGACCGTGTGAGGCAAACCAAGAAAATGAATTCCATGGGAAAAAAAAAGTGTATCAAACAAGGCAAAAGTGAAAGTTGGAATTTGTTTTCCATTTTCCATGGAAAATAATGGCATATCAAACAGGCCCTAATAAGAAAAATAGCAGTACCAATTCTTTGTTAATCTGTTAATAAGACATAATGGATAACCAGATTTCATCTAATCTTGGATTTTCTGCATATATCTGATCTCCTTATAAAAGCAGTGATATAATATATTGTAATTCTGACTATTGGATTGTAATGATACCTGAAGGTCGAGACTATCTTCCATGAATTCGGTCATGCACTTCAACATATGCTAACAAAGCAGGATGAGGGTTTGGTTGCTGGGATACGGAATGTAGAATGGGATGCTGTAGAATTACCCTCTCAATTCATGGAAAATTGGTGCTACCATAGGTAATTGGTTGCCAGTGTTCTTTTTCTATTTATGTTTTTAAATCTTTATTTATTCTGTCTTTATATCATGTTTTTGTCAATACATCTCTCTTCTTCATGTCGTGGAATGTTGGTGTCCAACATGTATTGGACACACCGGGAAAAGTAACTCTTACCTTACTGTCAACTTAAATAACTTATTTTATATCTATCTTTGACCAATAAAAAACTATTTACTTTGAAACCTATTTTACTTTTAAGTCAGCCAAAAATACAGGTCATGATGGAAATAGGACCAAGTCACTTTAGCCAAAAAATTCTCGAGTCACTTTATTTTAGTAGTATAGATACAGGTATATCTCTTGTATAGGATGAGCCAATTGTTGCACTTTCTTAGTGAGCCTCTTTCACTTTTTTTTTTGGTTAAGAATCCTTCAATATTTTTTATATCTTCCTGGATTAGTCAAATCTACTTGTCATTTGCATATGTGGACCAATTACATTTGTATCCATAATAATCATAAAACGATGTTCAATTTATCAGCCGACCTCTAGGACATAAATCTTGTCCGTTTATATTTGTGTTTCACATCGATAAAATAAAGCAGGACTTCTCTTTTTCCCCCATGAAAGGTAAATCAATTTTTGCCCTTTTTTTTTCCTTTTTCTTAAACATTTATTTTCTTTGAGATATTAGTGGAATAGAAATGTATTAAGCATGGCATAATTCTACTTCTCTTCCACGAAGTTCTCCCATTGAAATTGCATCTCAATAGGTATCAATAGGATGTGAGTTTTATAAAATGTTGTAGCGTGAATTTGTTGTAGATTGTAGATTGTTGAATTGTTGATTCATGATGCTTGATAATTAGATATTACATGGATGCATTTTGAACCCAATTCCACTGCCGGCGATTTCAGGGATACCTTGATGAGCATTGGCAAGCATTATGAAACTGGAGAGAGTATTCCGGACGATATATACAAAAAGCTTCTTGCTGCTAGGACCTTCCGCGCAGGCTCTCTAAGTCTTCGTCAGGTCTACGCAGCTTCTTTTTCCCTTGTTCCCTTGCAGTCTTTTGTTTTTGTAATGTATTTTACCTTTATTACAGCCTCAAATTTTGTCCCGACTTGCTGCATTCTCATTTTGTCCTCTCTTTGGTTCACAAATTCTAGTACTTTCTATTGTACCCTTAGTATGGTCAGGATTCTCTTGCAGGGTTTCAGGTTAAGTTCATGATGGTGAGTGTTACAGAACATGTGTTCTGGTTGTATATTTTGTATTATAGATGCATCTTGTTGTGAAAGGAATTTGTCTTCAATTTCTGGTGTAGGGTAACGTGTAAATTTCATACAAGCAACTGCTCTTTGGACCAAGCTGCAGCTAGTTACAAATGAGAAAGAAAGAGTGCATATATATTTGATTTTCTACCTTTCAACCACTGTGGTTCTCCTTCCGTCAATCAATGTTTTTTGGTTTTTTGTTGGGGAAATGGGGTGGAAGTGGTACCAGAAAGAAGCTAATACCTAGATCTTTGATAGCCCATGATTGATAATGTTCCCACCATCAACTGACATTATCTTCAGATGCAATTATCCAGACATATTTTTGTTCCCCCTAAACATATAATCAGACCTTGACATCATGACGTGTACGTCATATTGGAAAAGGAAATTGATCAATGCTAACTCTTGAACCACTTGATCTAAAAACTTAATATGTTAGAAGGCATATATTTCATTTAAATCTTGTTTCCATCATGCTTCCTCACCTCACAGGTAGGTGGGGTTCACTTTTTCTCATCAAAGCCTGAAACGTGCACAATTTTATTGAAATGGGTTGCAGATACTCTTGAATTTAGGACCTTTGTTAACTCTAATGCCATGTGAAACCACTTGATTTAAAAATTTACTTATAGAAAGGGTCACATAACAAAGCTTATGCTTGTTATTCTACGTCAAAAATCTTCTTTTTCATTTGGTGTGTGTGGGGTGTTGGGGGGCTGTTAAAAGTGTTTCAATATGTAGAATTTATTTAATATTTATGCCGTCATATTGGCTTATGGTATACTTGTCTATCTTTCTCCTATATTCCATTTCTTAATGCATTTTTTTCTTTGCATGATTTCATTGTTAGATTTTGGGACTTTTGCTCTGTATTACGTTATGAAGTGGATATTGTAGCTTTGTGATGGAACAGTAAATCCTTATAGTTTCCGTCTCTTGTATACTGCAGATCAAATTTTCAACTCTCGATCTTGAGTTGCACACCAAGTACGTGCAAGGTGGTTCAGAGACGATCTATGATGTTGACAGAAGGGTTAGTAAAAGAACGCAAATACTTCCTCCACTTCCAGAGGATAAGTTTCTTTGTGGTTTCAGTCATATATTTGCAGGTGGATATGCTGCTGGATACTACAGTTACAAGGTATTTGGTTTATAGATATTGCTGCCTGATTGGTTTGCATTTAAAATTTATGAAATCTATATCGTAGGATGAAAGTCTACTAATAGCAATTACTGTCCAAATGTGTAGTGGGCAGAGGTGCTGTCTGCTGATGCTTTCTCAGCATTTGAGGATGTTGGATTAGATGATGACAAGGTACAATGCAGTTTGAAAAGATTGTATTCAATGTATTAACCATACAATTCTTCTAATTTATTTCGAATAGAACAATCATTCAGTAGAATTTTCTTTAGCATATATTAACAATGACTGATGAGTTGAAACAGGCGGTGAAAGAAACGGGACATAGATTCCGGGAAACTGTTCTTGCTCTTGGAGGTGGAAAAGCACCCCTTGAGGTTGGACTGCTTGATGCTATTTCCTTCCTCGTCATGAAGTTGCACAAAACTAAATTGTTGGATTCTGTCTGAATTTAATAATTGCTTCTAATTGTGCTCAAATCGTGATTCAGGTTTTCGTGGAGTTTCGAGGGCGGGAACCCTCTCCAGAGCCATTACTTCGGCACAATGGATTATTGCAAGTTGCAGCCTCTCTCTGAGTTTAGGTGCTTTAATTTCAGTCAAAGTACACCGGAAGAAACTTTTAGGCTATATTTAGGTGATCTTGATTAGAAACCCTTACGAATCACACTGTCTTGCTGCAGAATCTACTTGTCTAAGACTCTATTTTGGTTCTAGTCCATAACTATCAACGTTAGATCGCGATCCTATGAATGAAGCAAATTCGGTTAAAGCACTGCCATATCAAGGTTTCTGAAAGCCACTGTTTTTCAAACGGCGTGATAATATAACATTTTTAAATTAAATTAAAAGCACAAAATGAATAAATCTTCACCCCTTCTACGACTCACTCCACATTCTTCGAAACCTAACTCGAATGGATTCAACAAACATTTCTAATAATAAATCTTCGTGCATCCATTCATTTTTTTTACTTTTTGATTTTTATTTTTTAATTTGCATGGTAAATATGTGACTTTCCTCTGTTTCATATTGAATAACTGTACGTTTATGTCGTATCGATTTAAATTATTTTCTACTTTTCTACGCTAAATATTTTATATGATCAAATATCTCAATATATTGGGAACTTAGAAGGAGCGAAGTGGTGAGCATGAATTCGTGTTTTAAAACCGTCACCTAATCAATGAATAAATTAAGTACGTTTTTGAACAATTTAAATTTGAGCTCAATATTTAACGAGGTGTAAATTAGTAATATATTTTGATCATAAAGAAATTGTTGGATACGATGCAAGCTTAAATGAGAAAATAATTAGAAGGTAAAACAGTAATTTTGGTCAATTCTAATTATTCAATGCCCGATGGGGGTAATGCATTAAGATAGTGAATCAAGAGGACGTAATTGTAGGATGTGAACAAGAAAAATCTAAATTTGTATTTTAGAGAGAACAAGAAAAGGAAAAAATAAAAATAAAAAATCCTAAGTCTATAAACTTAGAGGTGGTCAACCAAGGCATCACGATCTTTCGTAGTTGACACCTACACTTCAAAGAGAAAATTTATTCTTGCTCTTCCTACGTAAGATTAAAAGATATGAAGACGACTTTGATTTGAAGCTCACGAAGATTCAAGAACGAAGATTAAAAGATGTATCGATCAATCAAAAAACCAAATTCAAAATTAATAACTCGTCGAATGTAATTTCGCTAAAAACCTATTCGAATTAGACATACTATACCGTGAATTCTACAATTCTATTTTTCAACTAGTGTAGACAAGCATACTTGGCTAAGCATAAAAATATTACTTATAAGTAAATAAGTAAGTTTTAAAATAATTAATTTTTGTTAGTTTATTTATGATATTAAGACAAAAGTTAATTTCAAAAAGTAACTTTTTTTTACCTTGAAGAGACAAGACATGTCTTAGCATGCTTGAATATAAAAAGTTGCTTAAAATTAACTTTTACTTCTTCAATAACTTATCGAACGAATGTTGTCTTAAGTTGAAACGCCAATTAAACTTGTTTTAAATAACTTATTCTTTAAAAAAAAATATTTGAATAGATTACTTATAAAACAAAAAGTTACTTAATTCGAAAGTAAAGTTGAATTACAGAAAAAAAAAATATCATTTTATATAGCATGGCATATAAATTTGCACAAAAGAGCTAATGGATTCCCTCTATATTGAGGGCTTGTCTAGGACGGCATATGTTTTTTTGTTCTTTTCCGTAAAGGAGTTTGTTGACGTACAAAAAATAAGGCCCAATTAAATGAGGCTCAATTATGCGATTCAAGAAATGGAGTCCAGTTAGGGAAATTGAGACATTGGCCCAAATAAGATCATTGTAAAATATAATGACAGCCCACGACTAGAAAACTATCATCGCCCAAGCATGCAAAATGCACAGGGTCTGAGCGAATGAAGTACTTCAATGTCGCTCAGAACGACGGTCTCACTCTTGCCCAAGCTTTCGAGACGCCCAACGTCGGATGAATATAGCGTTTTGTTCAATTATAGAAGCGGCTATTGAGCAACCTTATCACACCCCACGATCCAAGAATCTCGATTATAAGCAGTTAAACAACAAATAGCACAACAACAGTTGCTAACGACAGTTCCTTGACAAGTCAGCAATCATGAAGAAAGTGGGTAATTATAGAACGCTAAACAATTTCCAAGCAGTTTTACAAGAGCAAATCGACAAAAGAGTATAAAAAGGAAAAGAAAATATAGAAGAAAGGACCTTAAATCAAACACTCTCAACAGAGAATATGTCATGTCAATTCATTTACTTTCTATTTGCAAATTTTCAATTTACTTCGTGTGTTTGTTCCCCTTGGAGGCGTTTTGCTTTTTTCCAATTGTAATCTTCATAAATAAATCACTCATTTTTGGGACTTTGTTTCAAGATATTTGTTCTTTACATAATCGTCTGAATCTGTTTTTAATTGATAGCGATAACTCGCGCAAAACAGGCTCATAACCGGTTTTCAATCTCTGAACATGATTACATGGAGATAAGTAACGAGTCTTTATTGAATTGCCAAAAATATAGAAATATAGAATGTATATAGTATATTCATTCAATTTGTATTTTTCTCATATTTCATCAAACAATGAAATCACCAACCCCCACATTCATGAAAATAAATTCAATTTAAGTATAAGTTATAATCCATCAATCACGAGTTTTAATTTTGTATTAAAATGTAAATTAAAATAGCAAGCTGAAATTTAAAATTACCTTTAATTTCGAAATTTAAAACTTATGAACATTTAAGTTACAACAATTTCAAAGATATTCAAGAAAAACAGAGTTCTATGAGAAAGTCATTTAAGTTAGCTTTCTCTTAAAATTCTTTTAATAAAAAATACTTTCAAAAATTCAAACAGGTTGAAAAACAGTTTCTTACTATTAAAAGCAACTTTATAACTTCTTAAAATTAATGCCAAACAAGCCCTAAGCCTATGATCAAGACCATGGTATATATGAAGAGCAATGCTGCTCATCCAAGGCCAAAACCAGGCCCAAATCCAGGGGGCTGAGGTAGATGCACCTCGGCCCTTGATTTGAATTCATGTGGGGTCCTTTTTTTTCAAATCAGGGGTTGAGGTGATGACACCTCAACCCTCTGAATTATGATCGGTCACTGACCCTGGTCAACCAGCATTAATGATATATGAATTTCAATATTTCTGGTCTTCAATAAAAGAAAAAGGGACAAGGGGTCTACTTTATAATAACTAAGTGAACTATCTCCATTGGACATCTGGTCTTCCCTCTAAATTATGATCGGTCACTGATCCTGATCAACCAGCATTAATGATATATGAATTTCAACATTTCTGGTCTTCAATAAAAGAAAAAGGGACAAGGGGTCTACTTTATAATAACTAAGTGAACTATCTCCATTGGACATCTGGTCTTCTAACAGCCCAACACTCAATATCATCTAGCAGGTCTAATCATTGTCACGTAAATTTAGTTTTCTAGTTCTTCCCTAATTTCAGTCTTGAAAAGGTGACAGCTAGTTGCCACTCCACAATCTTCTAGATTCGAGGTCATGAATGTAATTTACAAACAACACTATATGGAGTAGTGTGATTACTATCTTTTTTTTTTTAATAAATTAAAAATGCATCCTATTTTTAACAAGAATATGATAGTGATCCTACTTTCACATAGATTGTTGTTTGTAAATTAATCCAATTGTGAAGATTCAAAGTGGTGAGCCCAAACTAAGCCAACCAACCCACAAGCTCGAGCAACTACGCACAAGCTTGGTCAATTATGGATATTAATAGGATCTGAATCATTATGGCACGTAAAGTTCGAAGCAGAAGGAAAAGACGACCCAAAATTGGCATAGAAACAACATTTAATTTGTCGAGCTTAAAAAGAAAAAGAAATAAGCAAAGCTCTGTAGTGGAGTGATAAACGAAAAATTTATGAAGAGTTACAGTCCTCACCAAGGAATAGTAAACCAAACGCATTTAGTGACATCGTTTCTTGATCGGTAGATTGAGAGCTAAGAGCTAACTATCAAGATTTTGGACTATTTGGATACATACTCCAAAAAATCCATGTATGTTTGTTGCCAGAAAGCAACAAGATCAAGTTGGTAACATTAACTTTTCATTTCATTTCTATGGTCGATGATCATACTGGACCTTTTTACCATTC